CTCCTGCCTATGTCTGCCTGCCCTTGGCCTGGCCCCCACCGGGTGACTTCCTGTACCCGCCCCCACAAGCTTTTCCATGACATGGCCTTTGTTGGGGTGTGGGGGCGTGCAAGGAGACCAGAAGGGCGGGAAAGAGGCAAGACCCAGGTCTGGACGACAGAGGGGTAGGGAGGCTGGACTGCCCACTCCCAGCAGCCCGGAGGTCTGCACCATGCACAAACCCCCCCCCCCCCCCGGGGGGGCAGATCTGCCACAGACAGGCTGTCTGGCGGGAGCTGCAGAAGCAATGAAGGCAGAGCTGGAGGTGGGTTTCTGGCCCCGAACGGTACGGCGGGCCCGCGGACACTGTGTGGCCATCTCCCCTGCAAGTGAGGCTCCTGCCAGCAGCAGGGACCAATGTGCCGCTCCCTCCTACAGCCGCCCACACGCTGATTTCTGCTGGGCTCCCGTACTGTGCAAACTCGCTGTGGGGGCGGGGGTGGTGGGGGGCTGCAGAGGGGCCCATCTAGCAGAACCAGGAGCTGTGGGCCCCAGCTCTACCCCCCTAAATACTGACACTGAGCCCAGACTGTAGGGAAAGCCCAGTGCGGGAGCAGGAACACAAGTTCTACGCCGGGTAAGGAGAGGTTCTGAACGGGCTCCTCAATTCCCTCCCTCCCCGTGGTGGCCCTGCAGCCTGGGCGCTGGGGCTACTCCGCGAGCCCAGGTCTCAGGCAGGACAGCACCCGAGTGCCCCCAGCTAACCAGGCACAGCTGCCTTTTCCCAAACTTTATTTTATAAAACGTACAGAGTAAGTTACAGCAGTAACATCCTTCTTAATTAAAATAATTTAGGACATCCCTACACACACGGCCCTGAGGCAGAAGAGCCCGGGTGGTGGCAAGGCAGGAAGGCTCAGGTGGGCAGCTAGCTCGCAGAGGCCACTTCCTCTTCATCACTGCCATCGGGCGCCGCGTCCGTCCCAAAGTAGCGGTCACCGAAGTTACCTGGGGAAAGGAGGAGACCCTTGTCTACCTGGGGAAAGGAGGAGACCCTGGGGACTCAGGCCCAGCAGGCCGTCAGGCACTACTGCTCAGCCCCGGGCAGCCTCACCGATGCCAGGGATGATGCGGAAAAGGTCGTTGACGCGCTTGTCCACCGCCGTGGTGATGATTCTCACTCGTGGGAACGCGTAGGCCACTGAGTGGACACCCATCTCTGCCATGAGCAGCGACAGCAGGAAGATCTTGTCCTCTGGAACGTCATGGTCCTGCGCCCGAAGGGGCGGTCAATGCCGACCCAGGCCTGCCCCCCACCCCGCGGCCCCGCGGCCCCGCGGCCACTCACCAGGAGCACGCGCACCGCCATCATGGCCGCCGCGCCCGTGGACACGGTGCAGTCCGTCAGGATCACGTGGTCGTCGCTGATGTCCTTGGGCAGCCGCAGGTAGTGGAGCTGTGGGGCGCCGAGTCAGAGCCGACCCAAACCTGGGGCTGCCCCCTTCCTCGCCCCTCGGTCCTCACCCGGGCCCCCCGGGCCCCCCAGGCCCCCCGCAGCCCCGCGGCCCCGCCCCGCACCTCCGGCTCCCCGGTGAGTTGGTTGGTCTGGATGAGGAGGGTCCCTATGCGCACGTCTTTGCACACGGCCCGCAGCGCCGGCTCCATGGTCTCGCCCGCACGCAGGATGGACACGCCGGTGATCTGGGGGCCCGCACGTGGGGGGCGCTGAGCTGGCCGGACCGCCCACCTCCCCGGGCGCCCCACCCCGTCCCGGGGCTGCGCCCCAGCGGGTACCTGCTTCCCCGCGTAGCACTTGCCCGCGTAGTCCTGCCCCTGCGGGGTCTGCACGACGCAGTCCTGCGCAGAGAGCGTGGGGGCACTGCTGAGCGCGGGGAGCCGCCGCCTCTCCCCGCCCCCCCACCCGGCCTTCCCCCCGCCCAGGACCCCCGGCCCACAGCCCGCTCCGCACCTGGAAGGGCAGGAAGGAGAGCGCGTGCTCAATGAGCAGCCGCATCAGCCGCTTGGAGTAGAAGATGAACTCGTCGCGGCTGGTCTCCTTGTCCCTGCGGAACGCGTGGGTTAAGCGGGGGCGCGGGCCGCCGGGGCCCCCTCGCCTCGCACGGGGCCCTCACCTGATGATGGTGTGCATGCCCCGCACCTGCGGCGTGCTCTTGAGGACACTCAGCGTCTGGGGCAGGGGGTGGCACTGGTGCGCCGAGGCCAGCGCGGCCCTGGGAACGCAAATTGGTTGGGGACTCAAGAAGGGGTGTCGCCTCCCAGAGCCCCGTCCTCCCACCCCGACACTGTGTGTGGGGGCGGGGCGCGCGTGATGGGGACAGTGAGGTGTGCAGGTGGGGGCCGCCGCCTCCCTGTGGCTGCTCTGGAGGGCGGGCCCCAACCCGAGTACCCCCGCCAGGCGAAGGCCGAGCAGAGCGGCTGACCGTCAGGGAAAGCGAGGGGCTGCGCTGCGAGCCTCCCCTCCCAGCCCAGAGCCCCTCCTGCGCTTGCTCGGAGAAAGCCAAAGGGGACCGGGCAGCGGGAGCGCGAAGGAACCTCAGCCCCCACGATGGGCGGCTGGTCCTCAACCCCAGAACTTGTCTCTCGGGAACAGCTGAGCTTCGGGGCCAAGCCTAGTCCTGACCCTTCCCCTCCAGGGGATGCACGGCCCCTTCACAGGAGACGCGGGCAGATCCGGCCCCCTCCGGGGCGGAGCGGGCGGGGCGGGGCGGGGCGGGGCGGGGGCGAGCGGGAGCAGCACCCCCCGCCCCCCAGCGCACACAGCACAGCAGCACAACCAGCGCGCACTCTGTCCTCACATATCCCAGCGCAGCTTCCTCTGCTCGCCAGGTGAAGAGTGTGTTCAGGGAGGGAACAGGGCAGGAAACCCAAGGGTTTACAAAGAGGAGGAAAAGAACAAAGAGAAAAAAGACCGTTTAGCAAGGGAGCGAGTCCCCGGGGCCACCAGCTGGCCTGAGAGCGAGAAGAGGCAGGTGGCAGGGAGACAGGGAAACCCGGGAGGCTTTGCCCACACCCCGGTGCCGGGCCCCACTTCCCGCCCACCAGTCCCACCTCCTGGGCTGGCCAGACCGTGGAAAAGAGCCCGCGGCGTTTAGGTGTTTTTTTCAAGTTTGCCACCCTGGAAACTTGATGCTCACGACAAAGGCTTCCCAGGGGGCCTGGCAGGGCGAGCCCTGCAGGTGCCTCAGTCTGGATGAAAGCCCAGCGGTGACTCATGCGAGGGCAGCACGCTCCAGGGGCCGTTCCCAATGCACCCGCTCCAGGGCTCCCAAGCATGAACGGGGCTCTCCTGGTGCTCCCCGATTCCACAGAAAGCCCAGGCTAAGGGTGGTCACTAGTGCGGGGCACTCTGTGAGGTGGGAGCTCCATCCTCTCCTGGGGCATCCAGAGCTCCCCCCTGGCTCTCAGGGCCAGCGGGATAAGGGGGTCGGGGGCTGGGGCCTCACCGTCTGGGGGCATCCAGACTGGAGCCTAAGGTCAGCAGAGGACCCTCTGACTGCTGAGGGACATGCCTGTGAGCACTAACCTGGGGGGCCCAGCAGCGCTGGCTCGGGACAGCGGTGCCCTCTGGTGGCAGACCCCATGCCCATGTGGGGGACAGGCCTCCAGAGAGGTCTGACCAGCATAGGGTCAGGGCACTGTGTGATCCAGGGCAAGTGCCTTAACCTCTCTGTGCCTTTGTTTCCTCAGCTACCAGCAAAGACAGACAAAAGCAGGGTGGGGGCCACCAAGCCATCCTTTCTCTGCCTAGGGCAGGGCTGACCTGGGGGATGGGCGTGACACCAGAGGACCCTCCCACCTGCCCAGGTGACACCCCAAATTCCGAGCTGCCGGTGGATGCTGGAAGTGCCTCCGGCTGTGCAGACGGGTTTGGGAAGTCTTACCTGACACTGAGCTCACGCTGCGGCAGCAACACGGGGAGACACAAGGGAATGGGGGGGGGGCGTGTCAGTGGCGGCAGCGCGGCTCACCTGGCAGTCACCGGACAGCACGGCCCGTTGCCACTGTGCGCCTCGACCCGCCAGGCCCACCCACCCGGGAAAGGACCTGCCTCAGTCCCCAAGGACAGTCCCGGGTAGCCGCCCGCCACAGGAGGGTGCCCGCTCCTATGGCCTGTAGCCTGGGCACCCTCTGGACTGGGCATGACGAGCCTGGGCTCCTGGGGCCCCGCTCCTCAGGCCTCCAGCACCCCCTTATGAAGCCAAGGGGCAGGACCCTTGGCAAGCCCAGGGCACGGTAACTTCAGCTTGGGGCTACCCTCCTGGAGCGCCCTGGATGTGGAACTCAGTGCTAAAACCACAAAGTCCCCTGAAACTTTGGGAGGGACAGGAGCGCACCCTTCCACTCAAGGCCCAACTCGGGCCAGGAGGCCCAGAAGGCATCCCACGCGGTCTCTGGCCCACACAGAGGGCTGGGGCTGAGCGAGCAGGCCTGGGGCACCGGACGCGGGAACAGGGCAGAGGACAATGACACACAGGGGCAGGAGGGCAGACGGCTGTGAGAGCGGCAGCAGGGGAGTCGGGGAGCAGGGAGAGGGGCTTGGGGGCTGCAGGGGCCTGAGGGCCTGGCCCGGCTGGCTCACCTCCTCCAGCTGACTGTGCATGTGCTGCACGATCAAGTCGATGGCCACCGTGTTCCCACTCCCTGGGACAGGACAGGCAAGGAGGGTTAGGCAGGGGACCGAGGCCCCTCCTGCCCACACTCCCAACGGCAGGCAGGTGTGTAGGCTCACCCCAGGGCACCACGATGTCGGCCACTCGCATCGTGGGCTGGATGTACTGGTCGAAGGCAGGTTTGACAAACTTGTTGTACTGCTTGATGACACCCTCGATGTCCCGGCCACGCTCACTGATGTCCCGGCGCAGCCGCCGCACCAGACGGATGTCGGAGTCTGTGTCCACAAAGATCTTCATGTCCAGGAGCTGGACGGGGACAGCGAGGTGCTGAGCAGAGCGTGGCGCCGACCTGGGACCAAGCCAGGCCAGGGGCGGCTTGCAGGTCCGGCCGGCAGTGTGCACAGGTGTGCGGAACTCGGTGGTGGCGGGCCACTGTCCACCGGGCTTCAGTCAAGGGCACTGGACGGACCCTGGCTGCACAAGCGGGATGGAGCCAGCCGCATTTCTGTGGGGCGCCAGCTGTCCACATGCCCTTGCACGTGCCAGGGCCCAGGGACTTGTCCTCTCCCCACCTCCCCCACCATAGCGCTTGGGCTTGGAGAGTTGCTTGGTAGTCAACAAGGTTCCCCGGGCCTGAGCCCAAACTCACTGGCCTCAGAACTACAAGGAACAAGGACCAAAGCACAGGCCTCACTCCTGGTTCTCAGTGGGGGTGGCGGAGGCCGCCACCCACCGCAGGGCCTGGCGGGAAGGATGCCGCTGTGTGCGCCTCTCAGAGGTCCGAAGGCGAGGACACAGGAGGCCGCCTCCATCCCAGGCAAGAGCACACACGTGCACGCCAATGTGGACCAGCACCCACTGTGCCCAGGTCACTCTGACCTCAGCAACTGCATGGGCCCGAGAGCCACCGAGGAGCCTCACACAAAAGGGTGAGTGAGCATGAGAAGAGGTCGAGGCACTGGCCCAGGGCTGTGCACCCACAGCTGAGAGTGAGCCCCTCCGCAGGCCGCCTCCCCCACCGAGGGCATTTCACTGTCTGTGGGAGCGGTGGGGTCTGTTCCACCCAGTGTCACCGACCCACTCCCCCAAGAGCAGCTGTTCCCCACCCAACACACAGTGGCTGCACCACCGGGATGGGACAGAGCAAGCGGCTTGGCCTGCTAGGAGGAGGCAAATTTAGCGTCAGAACCACAGAGAAGCAGGGAGCTGAGCAGGGACAGACATTCCCAGCAAGACCATGAGCCTTGAGCCCCGTCCTCACCTCCAGCAACGCCTTGTCAGCAAAGGCCATGATGCCCTCGAAGATGATCACATTTGCACCGTACAGTGTTTTCTGCAAAGGGATCGTGCAGCCGGTCGCCCGCTGAGCCTGCCGTGCTCCCAGGCGGGCACGCACAGCCCCAGCCCATGAGGCCTACCCAGTCCTTCTTCCGGCTGTGGGTGGTGAAGTCGTAGACGGGCACCTTGACACTCTTGCCCTGCTTCAGCTTCTTGAGGGTGGACACGATGAGGTCAAAGTCAAAGGCGTCTGGATGGTCGAAGTTGAAGTTGTTGTGGGCGGCCTGTTCCTGCTGCTGAGTGGTCAGCACCTGCGGCAGGAGGGATCGGGGGCTCCCTGCGCCTCTCCACACCATGCCAGAGACCGGGGCGGGGCCTCCAGGCCCTCCGTGGGTGTGGCCTGCACTCACAGGCACGCTCCTCACCTTGTAGAAGGAGTCCATGGACAGCAAGACCACCCAGGGCACGTCGAGGGCCTCAATGATCATCCTGGCCACAGTTGTCTTCCCGGAGGCGCTGCCACCTCCCAGGCCTGCGGAAAGGGGCAGAGCGACCCTGAGCAAGAGCAGCAGGGCCAGCCCCTAGCCTGGCTCCAGGGGTGCTCCCCCACACGCCTACACTCTGCCTGCAGCATCCCCAACGCCCCCCTCCTCTGTTCTCCACGACGGCACCCAGGGGACCCGAGGCAGCTCAGGTCAGCAGCACCGCGCCCGGGCACTCGGTGCAGGCCCCGCCTTGCTCACCAATGGCAAAGGCCTCCTTGGACTGTGTGCCGTGCTCGTTGTACCAGGGCGGCCGGCCGGCTGTGTAGATGGTGCGCTTGCTGGTGCGCAGCAGGGGTGGCTCCGACTTGCACTGGCTGGTGGTGCGCTTCCGGGGTGAGCGCCTGCTGCCCACGGGCGGGAGGAGCCTGTCCAAGGATTCCGCGCTACTGCTGCAGAGGAGAGGACACGCCTGCCTCTGCCCCAGGGCCAGCCATGCTGCCATCCCCCGGGGCCCATCCCTGATGCAGGCACCCGGGCACAGTCAAGTGGGACGGACTCCACGGGGCGGGGGTGTTGCGAAGGAAAGCCACCTGCAGCCCATCCACGGGGCTCCTGGCCTGGGCTGGTCACTGTCCACACACGTTCAGACAGACAGCAAATGGCATTAGGGGAAATGAGGGCCATCTGGGGCCTGGCCCCTCAGAGGACGAGGGGCACAGCAGGGCCAGTCAGGACCCCGTCGAGGACTGTGTTCCCTCCCACAACACTCTCCGGAAGACCTAACCCCCGCCACCCTGCGGGGCGCACGGGGAGAGGCTCCCAGACAGACAGATTGCTGACAGGAGAGCCGAGCGGGCTGGTGGAGGCCACAGGTGCAGGAGAGAGACTCTGGGCTGGGAGACCCGCAGAGCAGCCCCTGCTTCCTGCTGTCCCGCACACTGCAGACCAAGAAGGCACAAGTGTCCAGGAGCCACGACCAGAAAACCCCACCTGGCAGAGGCACTGGCAGCATCTGGGCCCTGCTCCTGCCTGCGCCGGGCCCCTCGTGCCCAGTGACAGGCTGACGTCCAAGTCAGTTCACAAGGGGCACGGTGTGACTGCTGGCCCAACGCCTCAGTCCCAACAGGGACAGCTCTGGGGAGGCTCAGTCTGGCCGAGCAGCCCAGTGGGGAGCGAGCATCTGTGAGATGCCTGCTTCAGTCTGTGCTGACGGGCTTGGTCACGAAAGCCCGCTGTGAAGACGGACGCGGCCAGAACAAGCTGGAGACAAGGCACTCGTGGCCCCCGCACAAGAGAGGGGCTGGGCTGGCCCAAGCGTCCCCTCGCGGACCCGCTCCGCAGGCTTCAGAGCTCACTGGCTCCCCTGCACAGACCTTCGTGTGAGTGTGTGAGCAGGACGGGACACACAGAAAGACACCAACACGACCGCCGGCGGGGACGAGGATTTGGGATCCTGCCACCTCGAATGTCTTATAAGCACACACCAAGCCCGGGACACCCAGCAGTGCGAGGCCACAGGGGCCAGGATCCCGCCCACGAGGTGACACCGGCCAGCCGAGGGCCATGGGAGGGTCTTCCTGCGTCTGGAGGGGCCCGGGATCTCCACCTCGGGAACGCTAATGTTCCCGCTGCGCAGACCTCCCAGAGTCCCGGATGTTTCCGAGGGCGAGGAGGACGGTGTGCCTGTGTGTCGTGGGGGTAGGAGGCAGTGGAAGGAATTTGTTAAAGCTGAAGGTGGAACAGGTCACAGCAGCAGCACCTGAGAGACTGGAGGACAACTGCAGCCAAGTCCCAGGAGTAAGACACCAGGCATCACGGGACAGAGCCACGTGGCACCATCCCGGGGGACAGACGACACAGGGCTGTCGTGGCTCCGTGTTGTCAGGACAGCAACAGACGTAATTAGCCAGTCTCTGTGCTCGGGGTCACCTGTGCAGCTCTGGGGTCAGGCACTGCCACCCAGAAGTGTGGGGGGGACTCTGCCCAGCATGGAGCCGCCCCAGGGGTGCCCCCACATTCCTGCTCAGTTAAGCCAGAGATGAACACGGCAGGGGTGGGGGCAGGAGGGAACGCGCAGGGGCGTCTCCAGGCACTGGAAACACTCCTCTAACGACACAGGGCCTGCAGGCCTCGGGGCTCCCCAAGGCACTGTCCTCCCGGCGGCGGCGACAGGAGACCTCCACGGTGGCCCTGGAGGTGATGGGGGGCAGAAAACGAAGTCCAGCCCCCCGCCCCCCTCCCCTGTGCCTTCTGGGAGAAAACTCTAATGTGGAAAACCTGGCTTGCAAAGGAGGAGGGCCTCAGCGCTCACAAGTCCCTCACAGCCGGGCCGGCTGGCCGCGCAGTCTGCCATGGGCCCTGCTCCCATCCCCTGCTTCTCACCCCAGGGCAGTGGCCGGGCCTCTCCAACAGCAAAGTCTGAATCCTTATTTGTGAGTGTTCCTTGTCCTGCTGAGGTAATGACGGCCACGACCACTGACGACTTCTGAGGCTCCTGCTGCCAACAGCCCGGGGCAGACACTGTCCCCGGGAAGAGAGCCCATGCGCCAGGAAGAGCGGAAAGTAGGCCAGAGCGAGCTTTGCCAGAAACCCGCCCCATCTGGGGCGTGGGATGGGTCTGAAGGTATCAGGCTGGGTGTGCAGCCAAGCCCAGCTCCACTGCCGTTTCCAAAGCCCCGTCTCTCTCTGGGAACGAGGGAGGAAGCCTCGCTGTGACCTCAGAGCAAGCCTCAACCCATTTTCTCAGCGACACGACCTTGGAAATGGGAATGTCGCACCCAAGAGCTCCTTTCCCAATCCACAGATGGACGACAGACGGGAGTCTGGTCAGTGACAAAAGGTCATTTCAAACCAAAGGATTACGAGCCACAATGGACAGAAACTCACCTGTAACAGAAAGCCTCAAGCAAAACGAGCCCCTCCTAGGGCCCAGCCCAGCCCTTGAGCGCCCACCCGGCCTGCTTGTCTCTCCTGTCGATGAGACACGTGACGCAGGGGCTGCGAGCGGCCAAGACACAGCAGAGGCAGCTTCGCCACAGCCACGGGGACCACACTCCTGCCACTCACCTGCCTTCTGCTCCAAGGGCCCAGCACCCCGAGATCCTGATGCCAGGGTAAGCTGGGGGGCTGCTCATGTCTGGGTCACGGGACAGCGGACAGCAGGGTGATCCCACGTGTGTACAGGAACACCTCCAATGTGTCCCTCAGACCCACAGGAGCCCCCCAGGACAGCTCAGGGGCCACCTGAACTGCCCCCCCATGGGTGGGCAGGCGGCACGGCAGATGAGGAGCTAGGGTACGGGCTGCAAGAGCCCTGTGCAGAAGGAAAAGGACCCACCGCCACCTCAGAGGCTGAGGCCACAGGCATTAAGAGGCTCACCCGGCTGGGGGCTGGGAGCTCTCCTGGTATTAATAGCACTGACCCTGCTGGGAAGAACACGGCCGTGGGGCCCTGGCCGAGCTCTGGCCAGCCCTGGGTGTGAACTGCCCCTCCTGTGCGCCTGCGGGTATACTGCTGGCCCAGGCTTGCTGGGGACCGCGGTGCACCTCCCCCAGAACACCGGGGAAAGACTCTCCATCCCCCAGGCCGGCTTGGGACTGTAGAACCAACCCCCTCCCACCACCCTCAGGGCCACCGGGAAACCCTCTCCCAGCCAAGCCTTGCGGACTCTCAGGGCGAGCCCTGCGTCACACCCTCGGCCCCAAGGTGCCTTCTAGAGGCAGAAACAAACCTGAAACTCTAGCAGCCCGCCCCTCCCCTCCCCTCCCCTCCAGGGGTAGGCTCCAGCCAGTCCCCAAGGCCACGTGGAGCTCAGCGTTCAGCCCCGGGACACAGCCAGTCTCCAGCCCGGCAGCAGGAGGCAGAATGGGTTCAGCCAAAGTGTCTTTACTGCCGTGTGTAAAGGGGTCTGCGTCCCTAAGTCCCTGCCCTCCTTTCCAGCTTTCCTCCTAACAACACGGAGGCTCAGGAAGAGAAAATTCCGTGTGGGGTTCACACACCCAAAGAGGGGCCACTCCTGGAAGCTGCCTCAGGAGCAGCCTCTCCCGGCCGCCCAGGTAAGAAGGGTGAGTCCGCCTCCCTGTCCGGAGGCACCTGGAACAGGACAGAACTCCCCATCTTTGCCCACAGGAGCTTTGCCCACAAGACACACGGGCAGGGCCGGCCCCCACTTCGGAGGTGGGAGCTGTCCCGGGCAGGGCTGCAGAGTTGGCCACTGGTGCCCGACGCCCTGCGCGGCTTTAGGGGAGTTTGCTGGATGAGTGAAAACGAGGCCAGAGGGAGGAGGGAGGCGCTGATCCACTGGGCCCCGGCCCTAGGAACCCCAGACTAGCTCAGGGACAGAGAGGTATCAGGGCTTTCTCAGGACAGATGAAAAACTTGGGGGGCTGGGAGGCTTCAGCCCTACAGGGGCTGAAACAGGCTCCAGAGACTTGCATGACCCCTCCCCCACCACCCTGGAAACCTGCCTGCAGAAATGGCTTGATCCGGCGTTTCGGATCCTCCCTCCACTCCCACAGCTTCAGACCCATCTCCACCCGGACTGCACCAGGAGACTGCCTGAGGGGCTCACCGTCCTCACCAAAATGCTCAGTTATCTACCAGCATGTCCAGTGCTAAGGTGTCCGAGGTCCCTGACCCTCTGGAGGAGCAAACAGACGAAACACAACGGCAAGGCGGAGAGACCACACGGATGCAGCCTCCATCGTGTGCACGGAGAAGCTGGAACCACGGTCAGGGGCACGGGCACATACACCCGGATGCCGACCAGACCAGCTCTGGGGCCCGCGGGGGGCGTGCGGGGTCTGTGGGGCAGCGCTCAGGGTACCAGCATTGGGGAATAACCGTGACGCCCAGAGGAAGTGCCAGGACAGACCCCCTCGGGCCTCTGGAGAAGCACGCCAGAGTCTACACGTGCCGCTGCTGGGCCCTGGCTCCCTTCCTCCGACCTCTGGCTCCCCGGGCACCATGAGGGGCACCTGTGCCCACTACCTGGCTCCGCACACTGGGCGGGGCCCCGACGGCAGCGGCCACCAGCCCATGTCTTCAGGGAGTGCTTCTCTCAAGAGCGCCTCCGGCCTTGCGCTCTCCCATCTCGGGCTAACTCAGACTCTCCGAGCCGCTCAGGTCTGCGAGACTCAGCCACCCCGTGCCACCATCTAGTCGCTCTTCGCTGGGAAGGTGTGCACCTCCTCTGGGCGGCTCCTCGCCTCGGTCCTCTCCCTGCCGACACAGCGGCCCCCCGGCCCCCCAGACCATCCTGGAGGAGCCCAAGCACACAGCACTTCTGCCTCGGAGAGATCCTCCAGTCCCCGGTGGCAGGAGGCCTGCGGTGGAACCACCGCTCCCTCGGACCCCCCACCCTGTGTCTGTCGCCAAGCCTTCCTCCAGGGGCAGTTCCCACCCAGAAGGAAGGAGCCAGCCCTCAAGGCTGGGGGGCTGCCCCTGCTGCTGGGCCAGGCCGCGGCAGCACGGAGCAGGAGCCCGCTTCCTCTGGGCTTCTTCCACCTCCCCGGCTGGGGTGACGGGCGGCTCCGGCTCCGCTCCGCCCTCCCACTCCAGGCTCGTGCAGAGCCTCCACCGAGCCTCGAGGCGCGGCCCCGCGGGGTGGGGGGCAGGCCGAAGGCACCCCGGATTCGCCAGCCCTGGCCTCGGGCCTGGGGCAGAGCGGAGGCAGGGCCTGTCCCCCTCGGAGCGTCAGGTCACGCTCCCGCCCCTCGGGACCGACACCGCAGGCGACCTCCGGAGAAGCCGCTCTATCCGCAGGCCTGGCCGCGAGCGCGGGCCCCTGGGGCGCGGCGGTGCACGCTCGGTGTCACCGCCCGGCCGGGCCCCCGGGGACCCTCCCTCCGCGGGCGCCCGCCGCCCTCGCGCGCCCAGACCCCCACCGGCCGCGGCCGCCCCTGCCAGCCGGCCAGCGCCCCACCGCCCCACTACGGCTCACGGCGCCTCCCCCGCCCGCGGCGGACGCGAGGGGGCGTGCGCGGCCCCCAGCCCAAGCTCGGCGCGCCGCGCCTACCGGTCCTCGCACGCGGTCTCGCTCCTCTCCGGCGGCCGGTCGGGCCCGTCTCCGGCCGCAGCGGGCGCCGGAGGCAAGCGGGGCGCGTCGGCAGAGACCGGGGGCGCCGCCATGGAGCTCGGAGGCCTTGCCGCTGGCTGCGGGCCGCGGGGCGGGGCTCTGGGGCCGGCCGCACTGGCCTTCGGGAGTCGTAGTTCAGGGCTTTGTGCTACGCACTGACTGGCGCGCCCCGCAAACTACAAGTCCCACAAGGCCGTACGGCTGTGCATGCCGGGACTCGTAGTCCGGCCTCACGCGCCCCGAGCGGGCGTCCACCGCGGGGAAGGATTCCCACCCCGAGCCTGACCACAAACTCAGACGCACAAAGCCTCTGGAAAAAAATCAATAAACATTTATTTGATACAGTCATATTTAATACATACAGTTGATGGCCCACCCCCGCACCACTTGCGGCCGGGGAGGCGGGGACGAGGACCGGGGACAAGATGGTCACAAGGCGGGCAGGGCCCGAGCTCACCGTCGAAACATCTTGCAAATAAACACTTTGTAGATAGAATATATATGTATATATATGGTTACAAGTGATAGCTGGAACCTCTCTTTCAAAATGCACTTAAGTACGGAGAACTGGCATTAAAAAACCCAAACCAAGAAACCCAAAACACAGGGATGTGTGGCTGTCGGCCCAGAGGTGCTGGCCAGGCCCCCTGAACCCCAGGCCTCCAGGGCAAGCCACCTGGGGCCCACCGACCTGGACACGCTGGGACAGCCCTGCCCTCCATGGGCCAGGGTGCCCCCATTCTCTCCCTTCTGATCCAGAGGGACAGTAGGGGGGCCACGGCTGGGCCACTGGTCACACCAGGAATACACCCTCATCCGCCTTTGCACAAGCAAACCAACGTGCACCCTGCTTCTGTGTTAAGTGTCAGCCCCTTCCTGTTCTCAGGGCAGGGTGGGGAGGGGGTGGGCTGGGCCAGAGGTAGATCTTCAGAAAGGGACCTGGCATTGTGCCCTGGGCTTCAGTCTTGGGCAGGGTCCACGCCTACCATGCCCTGGGGCTGGGTGTGTGTGTGTGTGTGTGTGTGTGTGTGTGTCTGTCTGTCTGTCTGTCTGCCACTCCAGTCCCTCACACTGAAGGTGTCAATCAAGGCCAGGTGGTTACCTGGGAATTCCCACCAGAGTGGGAGATGGGCAGATCCTGCTGAGCCCCCCGGGGCTCTGCCCCTTTTGGAGGCGGGCTCTGCTGACCAGCTCACCACTGCCACTCACCAGAGCATGGGAAGCAGGAAAGGAAGAAGGGAGAGGGGTCCGACCCAACAGCCACATTTGGCAGCAGCTCCCCACACCCACTTTAAAGACAAAGAAGGGGGTTAAAGTGCTAAACATCAAGTTACCCAGGACCCCACCTCCTCCCACGCATCACAGCTGGGTTCCCAAACCAGGGACCATCTGTGGACCCAGGGGGTGACCTGGAAACTCACCCCCTAGCAAAAAACCAGCCCCCTACTCCCCAAGGACCAAGTACCTGAGAGGCTGGGGTGGGCGGCTGTCCCCAGCATAGATGTTGAGGTCCAACCTCCTCCAGCCATCGGTGACAAGGACAAAATGCACCTAGGGCTCCTGGCAGCCCCTGCATCCCCTCCCTGCCCCAGGCTGCCCCTGCAGTGCTGCCTGACCCCACCTCTGCCCCCACCAGCTGTATACCATAGTGACACCCAGGAACATGGGAAAGAAAACCCTTCTGCCCACGCAGTTCAAAGCCCTGCCCAAGCTGCCCGCCCCTGACCTTTGACACTGATCACACCTGCCAGCCCAGACCTCGCCCTTTAATCAAATCAAGGTGTGTGTGATTGGGGGTTAGTCCTTGTCTCTACAACCCCTCCCTAGCACATCAGGCCAGGGTTGCCCAAGTCAGAGCCTTTGGGCCACAGGAAGAAGCTGGACACAGGCAGCACAATGGACCCCAAAGGCCCCCCGGAACCTGTCTCCCTACTGCAGAGCTAGGAGAGCTGAGCCCGACTGGGAGCTCCTCCTCTCCTGGGACTAGATGAGGACAGGAGCTGGGGGTCGGGGGGCAGAGAGGTGCCCAGTAAGCACGGCCTCCCTGAGCAGGGGAGAGACACCCCCTTAGCCCCCAGATCTACCGTCGGCACCAGGAAACCCTTAGCACCAAAATGTCAGATTGTTGTGTTTTTGTATAAAAAACAGAATTAAAAAAAGGTTGTTACTTGTCACAGCAACAAGACTGGCATCCACTACACCCAGGAGACACACGCACACGGGCAAATATCAAAATTCACATCATCCAGGATCGGCCAGACCGAGCCCTCAGCCCACCCCCACCCCCCAGGGGGAAATAGCCTCTGTCTAAACCCAGTGGCTCTGAGTACCCTCCTCCTCCCTACAATGCCAAAGTTGGAAGGTGGGGCCCAGGGAGGAAACCAGAGGCAGTGTGGCCACCAACTCTGGGTGCCCTGAACTCCAGCCTGAACCCTGGTCAACCTGCAGACCTCACCATCCCCTTTGGGGCCCAACACAGAGCTGCAGAGCTGCCACCAACACAACGTGACCTTGGCCGAGCTCCTTCCCT